TTGGTATTAAATGATTCAACATATTTACTTTACAAAAAAATGAACTCTTAGAATAAATACTACTATTTACTTAAAATACAAATATTGGTATGAACTGAATTCAATTATCCCACACATGATTAGTTATATTCTCTGGACTATATCATTTCAAGCATCCAAGTATTAAAATTAGACCCTTATCCTGTCGTGATGTACTTCATTAAATTTGCCCCCTCTTAGTATAAATAACAACAATTTACAATAATTTTATTTTAGCACGTGTTACATACAATGAATAAATAGGTAATTATTTGGTCAAATTTGTAAATTTTTCTAAAATCTATCTACATTTGTGGTAACGGTATTAGTATAAATACTGTATAGATAAATATTTAGTATACAAAAACAATTCACAAACGAGAAATTATACGTTGAATTATTATCAAAACATTCTATTTCAAGCGGCTTCAAAAATCTGCAAGATTTTGAATTTGAGGTTTCTCAACAAAATATTTGGGAAATTTGAAACATAATCTGAAAAACAGAAGTTAGATTGTATGTCTATGGACAAGTTCTGTTTGAAAATAGTTATGGACAAGTTCTGTTTGAGAATAATTATGGACAAGTTCTGTTTGAAAATATTCTATAGTGATGATAACCTTGCAGCGATTCAAGACGCCTGAAATATACATTGTTTTCACACTTGGCACGTTTTACAGTCACATTTTGAACAATTATTTTCTAAATTCTATATGACTTTCCATCCTTCAATGCCTTCATCATTAACGGTAGTACACTACCGTGAAATACGTTAAATTCCAAAGATATAAAAAAATTGTGTCGAGGATAAACCCACTCATTTATTCGTATAAAAATAAGGATTATTTTGTTCCCTTGCCCTTTTAAATGATCAAAGTGAATTATTTTATACTTCAGCAAAAAATATTCTGTCGGAGAATGTTTATGAATGGAATGTCTGCACATTAAATAATTACTATGACAATCTGCACCCAACTGACAAAGAAACTACAATTAACATTTACCCTCATTTTCATTCTAAGCACAGGTCTATCCTCAAAGAATGAACCAATATAAAATTATCTTAAATACTTACTGGTACATAATTGTCAGCTGCCATCAAACAAATTTTTGAGATATGTTCAATGTTTGTAGATTTTTCAAAAAATTACTAATTCCATCAGTTACAGGTCCAACTAGAGGAGTTACATGCAAATCTCTAAGGCAAATTTGGGGAAGACATTTCATAAATACCAGGTTCAATAATACTACGAAGGAATATATTTGTGTTTTTGTAATAATTTGGTGAAATGTAATGAAATGCTTTCGATTTTGACAGATATCCAAGAATGCAGGTGGTGATTTATTTTGGTTGCATCTCCTCCAATTACTTATTTTTACAATATGTACTGAGGAAGTTCAACTTGTGATTTGCCAGATTAGGCAATGTTTTTTATTTTCAAAATGTAATGTCTGCAAAAAGTCCTTTGCTTGCCAAGCATTCACGTAAGCCAATAAATGGTGGGAATATTAATTCTCAACATCCAACATTTTGACATATTTCAATTATTTTCGAAAATTAGTTTACAGAGAAAGTACTGTACAAGCAAAATTGGAAACCACCCTTTCTGATTTACTGCATATTCAACGTTTCATTTGCTTTTATAAATTAATTTTCTGATTGATTCGGCAGTTACTTCATGAAAATCCATAGTAATTTCATCAACTACAACTCACAATTTGATCTCCACAAACTTTATTTGAAAAATATATCACAACATGTTTCGCTAACACAGTAACACAGATAAATAAGATTTCAGTTTTCTGTCGATCTCAAAGATAGCGTCTTGGTGAGAAGATTATCATATGCATAAGTATATGAAATTATATAAATACGTGAACAGAGGAACTTTAGGTCCGAATTTCATGGAGAAAGTATGGCTATTGTTCAGAGTTTACGATTGTTTACCTATACTGAATAACATGCAAAACAAAAAATGGAAATAGTGGGTTGACAGTGTTTTCCCTTAGATCCAATGAATATTTCGCGTCGAACCAGTAAAATTAATTATCCACAATCCATTTTCAGAAAGCAAAAATAAAATGCTTGAAAAAGTAAAATTTAAATGCTTATTTTCAACAAACATTTATGAGTAAGAAAAGTGATAAACAAGCGTTGCTCATTGTCAGGTATTTGGATCATTTGTTAGTATAAATTCTGCATCGCATGTTTTTGCAGTTTTCCGGTTTCAGTGAACTAGAGGTTTTATTATTCACTGCTATAGTAGTTAATTCCATCAATTAACAACATGGAAGTCAACAGCAGATAGTGATAAGTATGTTAAGAGCTGTTTTCTTTGATTTCAAAAAAACTTTTTAAACTATTGATATTCCTATATTAATCATGAAGCTCAAATATTATGGTACAAAAGGAAATGTACTTCAATGTTTCAGTAGCTGTTTGTCTGAGTAGGTATCTATATACAAAAGTGAATGGATGTCACATACTAGAAACAACAACAGGTGTTCCATAATTTGTGTGCAAATATGATGACCAATATGGCTTACTTGATTTCATTTAAGTGGGCCGCTTTTAAAAAACATCTGGAAACCGTTAATGTCGTTGTTCATGTGACGGTACAGTATTGCAAAATCTACATCGTGATGATTGAATTAGGTTATGTATGTTTTTTCCCCCGAATAAGCAACAGGCAACGGGTTATCTGCTGGATGAATTTATTAATTCATTTGTGAACAATGCAAATGAAGCACCAAAGTCCCATCATTTCAATGGAAATTCATGTTATGAATAAGTTTAATAATGAAAAAGAATGTATGATCTCTTACAACTCAAATTCTGGTATAAGTCAAAACACAATGTCATTAGGTTTTTTCCAAATGTGATTGCATGAAAACAGTTTCAATTATAAAAGAAATGAGAAAATTGTTGGTTTTATGCCAAAGGAATGTACGAATTGAGTTATATTCATCGACTACCGATGGGATTAGCAGTCCATATTTATTTCCATATTTATTTGAGTTGCGAAATATCAACATTCTATCAAAAGTTGGCCAACCCTGAGCAGAAAATAAGCTGTCTTCAGGTGACAATTCACATTTTTTATTTTAGGTCCGTTTATAGTCTCATACTCATTTATATTTCCAATAAAGAATACCGAACTGAATATTTTTGTATATTGTCCTCATATCAAGTACCATAATTAAATTTAAACGTTCTGAATTGTATAGATCAAAGAAAGCTGAAAATATATAATGGAATTGTCCGATACTTGAAAATCCATAACTAACGTATTCAAACACTTTATTGTGAGATTTTCACTAAACAATTTCACAAAATCGCAACACGTGTTTCGCCATACAATGGCTTCTTCTGGCGTGTCTTTACTCTCGAAGAAGACATTGTATGGCGAAACACATGTTACATTTTTGTAAATTCTTTTAGTGAAAATCTCACAATAAAGTGTGTTTTGAATACATAAGCTGAAAATAACATTATAGGCAACAACATTCATCAAGGATAAATTGATGTCTGAAATGAATATGTACTTTTGGCACCATCTCACGGCAACGTCAGAACTACCCAACTTGGTCTAGAAAAATGTCTGAAACAGAAGAACATCCCAGCATCCACTTGTGATGCACTGTTTGGAACCTTTGGTGTAGTAATGAATATTACTGGAGTTTTTCCCAACACCAAACCACTATTTTAACACCTTGACACGTGTTTCGATCACCAAGTGATCATCTTCAAGAGGAAGATCAAAAAACGTGTCGAGGTGTTAAAATAACGGTTTGGTGTTGGGAAAAAAACTCCAGTAATATTTAAAACAGCGATGTCAGGTTTCACCCACTAGTATATGAGAACTAAGCTGGATACTTTTTGAAATATTATACTCACTTCTATCGACCGTGATCTAGATGTAAGCAAGCATCATAAACTTACCAAGTCTGATGAAAGAGAAGTGAATCTTCTTTTTAGCACTAGTCATAAAAAATTAGTATAATTAAAAATAGTTTTAGGTTAGACTATCAAGAAACTTTTATATTACAAAGATTTTTGTATGGTCAATAGTGTACGTCCTTTCAAAATTATTTACTCACTCCGTAGAATCATTGAAAAGGTAAAATCTATTTAGAAATTCTGTTTGGCCAAAAATTAAAATATTTTATGAATTTGAATCTCAATTCCTTCATAAAATTCAAAAATATATTGAAACATTTCTGATATCTGTCAAAATCTAATATTTTGTTTATCGCAGTTCTTAATACTAATTATTATCAAACATGTCTTTGAGGAATCGGGGAATTTCCTACAGACGCTGGTAGTGATCTTGCAGACTTATACTCAACGAGATGAGAGACACCCTCTTCCTCGAGGCTTTCCGTCCTCATCATCTGTCAAAAAAAAATTACCATTTATATTAGTATAAATCATTAATAAAAGTACCCAGAATAAAGGAACAATTGAATTGCAAATATTAGTGATATGGAAATTTGAACGAATCCAAAAACACATTTACGTAACTATTTATTGTGAGATTTTCACTTTACACACTTCACAAAACCCCAACACCTGTTTTTAATTAAAATCTCATAATAAAGTGTTACTTAAATACATCATTATGGATTTTCGTCAAGTATCGGCTAATTCCTATCCATGAAAGGTAGAATGGGAATCTATGGCTTGAAATAAATCTATTAAAAACATTTATCTCACATCAGAATAAAATATTGTCTCTCGACGCGCGTTTCGCTAACCAAGGTATCATCAGAAGATGACTAATTAAATTTTATGGCTACCTCAATGTTTCATATACATCTGAACCGATTATCACCTCACCTAAACTAAAATAATTTTCAGAATCACTTATTGTGTTACATTGTCGATCACACCTAATCCTAATGTTAATCACCACCCGTCATAATACCTAAATTTGTACCTGTCATTATTACGTATGAGCGTAAACAGCAGGCTGTTAGGAATGGGATCTCATTCCTCATTTAAAAATTTGTTGTCACGTTCCAGTCTCAACAATTTCAAGCAACACTAGACTTCCTTGGTCTTTGAAACCGAATATGTGAAACATATTCCTTGTAGCGAAGTTTCATAATTTGCTTAGTTTGACCAACATACTTTTTATCGTATTTCTCACAACTTATTTCCGGAAATCCTAAACTTTACCTTTTCTGTCATCTTGTGTATCTATGGCTAAAAACACTGGTTGAAGTATACAAACAGTTTTCAAAACCATTACCATATCCAATTTTTTTTTAAATTTGAAACAATCCAACGGTATATATTAGTTCATATGGAAGAGCTTTAAATTTTGCATCTTAAGTTCTAGTCACCTCTTGATGATGTTAACTTGGTTAGTGAAACGTGCGAAGAGAGACAGTATGTTGTGGTGTGGGAAAAGTGTTTTTAATAAATCAAAGAAGTTTTATCCTCTTACTCTGAGTACTCTCTAAATAAATGTGATATTAAAAGAAAATGAGTTGTATTTCTAAATAAGGCTATAACTGTCAGCTGTGGTAGAAGAAATCAAATAGGGTTTCAAAATGCACATTCATTAGAATAAAATAAATTCTTTATGGAAACCAAGTTATTATGAATGTTCATTTTGAAATTAAGAGCAAATAAAAACTTTTTTAGTAGCAGAAAATTGTGTTCTGAACTGAATTGCGTTTTAATAGATCAATACTAGAAGAAGCTCTCTAATTCTAAATCTATTTAAGAGTTAATGCAAATTTCTACGAAACCAATACCACTTCTACACTATTATTATTAAATATACAAATAATTGTACAACCATTCACTGAATTGTTTGAATTCAGTTGATACAAGCAATCATTGTAAATTACTCTGTGATTCAAAATTATACAATTACCTGAATATAATATCATTTCAAAAAGTCACTGATAAACACACCTATTAGGCCTTTATTAATTTGTGAAACTCAAATCAACAATGTATTATCAAAATTTCTGGAATCTTAGATCCGAGGAGGCATGAAAGAAAATTAGTGATTAAAGTCCAACACCTTGTATGAAAAAACAAATTATGGATTGATAAAATTATATAGTTAATTGGAAGGTAAACAAAAACTGTGCTTCAATTTTTTAAATTCTAACGAACATGAATTAAGTATAAAAAACAGTTTTCATTTCTGTGGTCTATAAAAAAAAAACAAATATTATCTCAAATGACAGTGTCAGATTCAAAGATTTCAATATATAGGTGGAAAAGCTAAAACGTCAAACTACTAGATATGATCATTGTTTTCTTGATGTTCTTGATGTACATCCTCTTTTTGGGTCAGGAAATATTATTATTCAGTAGGGAAGAGGCTGATCCTTCAAGCAAATGAATTGGAATAAATTTTTTCAGAGTAATAAAAATGAAACAAAGCTCAACCCGGTTCTCCCTGGACCTGGAGGAAAAATTTAAATAGGCTCCTGCTTTTAGCTGATCCTTGTTTGGTTGAGACAACAAAAGATACTCCGGTACCATGACTTTGGGTTCTTCTGCTTTATGAAAGATAGATGAAAGTTATAGTTATCTCTTGGTCACCAGACGGGACAAAGGTTACCTATAGCTACAGTGGAGTAGTTTATAATTTCCCAAGAAACATTGGCTGTTTATAATAGGAAAATTGAAAATGAAAATATATTATATATTTACTTGCAAAGATAAATTGTCATAAAGCTATTCAAATCAGGAGTTGCTTATAACAGAGATCTTGAACAAGTAATACTCATGGTGTGAATTATCAGATGGAAGGCAGATTTCAAATACTGAATATAGCTGAAGAAGAGTTTTCTAAAAGAAATAGTATTGAAACCAGAACCAAAAACAAAGCATTCATGATCCATCACCAAAAAGCGCAGTTTCGACTTGTCATAGGTCTCATCAGTGGTGCTGGATTGAACTAAAAATGCATTATTGGGCTCAATTTTCCTTGAAAGGACAAGCCTGATAGCACCATTAATGAGACTTATTTCATGTCTAGTAATTAGTTTTCATTAGTGAGGTTAAATTTTCGTTTGGAATACAAACACATTCAAATATGTAATAATAATAAACGCGTTATTTTGACTTGAAATTAATTTTCATTAAATAAGCAATACGACTTGATCGTATGTCATCGACTTGATGACAGTCAATGAAAAAAAGGGTTAGTATCTGGTAACAGTTGAAAAATACGTCACTATATAGGCGAAGGTTATTGAAAACTATAACATTTTTCTCGAAGAACATACGAACACATTAGGTTGTTTTAAAAGTTTTGTCCGTTTTCATGAGTTTACTTTTAACTGTAAGATCTCAGTGAATACTCATTCAAATTAATAGAAATAAGTGCCATTTCAAGCAGTGCACTTTTACTAACTTAACACGCGTCTATTAATTCCGTCAGCATCACAATTGTGTACTCGGGATTCGATGAAATCGACGAAGTCCGTTTTTGCCAGCTCCTGATTGGCGAAGGTTCAACCGATGAGAAAATAATTGGAATGCTTGAACAGATGGTAGTTGGTTGGCAAGAGCTCTAGCAAGAGCTATTAGTAAATGAGGCAGAACTTCCACACACGCTCAATTTGTTCAATTTTAGGACGGTGATTTGTGAAACGTGGGGACAGGCATTATCGTGGAGCAGGACCGGACTTCTTCTGTTGACCAGTGCCGGCTGCTGCAGACGCAATTTTCAGTACATTTCGTCGATTTTCTCACAAAAGGACTCTGCTGTAATGGTTTGGCCCGGTGACCAGTGACCATGTTTTTTTTGGTGGATTTGAGAAGTGCCTGAATGGCTCATTGGTGTCCAACCACTGTCCCGAAAGTCTCCTGAAGTTGTAGAGGATCTAATTTTCATGAAACGTGACTGTTCCCGTGACTGTCGTTTTAGTTGCGCAAAAGCAAAGAAGAACAAACCTCGAACCTCGATCTTTCTGACCTTTCCAAGCACCGTTTGTGATGGGTCAGTCTCTACCAGGGTCCTCAAATCCTCATTCTGAATTACTGTAGGTCGACTAAGTCGAGGCTCATCTCCGAGGCTAAAATCTCTGAAGGGAAATTTCACAAACCAACGCCAAACAGTGCATTCAATAACACTATCATTGCCAAATCCTGGTTGGTTTTTCGTGCGGTTTCGGCAGATTTTTGGTTCAATTTGAATTGACCTAAAATCGCTTAAGGACATCAATATAGTAATGAGTTGAAAAGAGGCAAAAAAATTGAAAAAAAAAAATGAACAGCATGAATGTATACAGTACAAAATTCTCTATCAATCAGTACATTAAATAGTCATTGAGATATAGAGCTTCAAAAACAGATGACTTTTAAGACAAAACTTCTGAAACAATCTAATTTCACAAATAAATATATGATCAATGACGGATTATGATATTGTANAAGTTAAGATGGTGTACGTCAGTTCTAAAGGATATTTTTTCGAAAAGATAAGAGTTTTCTTGTTTTAAGTTTTTGAAAAAATGTTGCAGAATGAAATGTTCGTCTGGATTCCATATTAAACCAACCCACATCTCCGAACAGATGGGAAATGTTTTCTCGTTTCCTCGTACCCGTAATGAGCCTAATGCATGTATTCTGGAGTTTTTGGATTCTAAAACTGTCACTCTTCAAAATTCCCAGACCATATACCACGTCTGCGTAGTTTATAATATTAGTAGGGAAATAGGGATATACACACTATGGTTCATGTGTGAACAATTAAAAAATTGAAATTAAGTTTAAGCCAGTTTTACATAATACAAGAATAGAAGAAAAATTTGACAAAAGCAAATTGATATATAAGTCGTAATTTGAATATGTGGAATCTAGGAAAAAGTATGAACCTAAAAAGAAATCATAATGTGAAAATTGTATTGTGTATTGTAATTTAAATCAAATGTTTGTACTGAACTTTTTAACGATCTTGATATTCTTGATGATCTCGATATAATTTTTTCAAGCTTATGATTACCATCTCATTCTCAAATTCCATCATGTAATGTAATTTGTTTTAACGAGAATGTTGATTTGTTTTGATGAGTATGCCTTCGTATTTTTTATTTCTCAATTCATGACCACCATTGATTGTGGAATCTTAAGATGTATATAGCCTGATTTTAATTGCGCCATTTGTTTTAACATGTCTATAAACCTTGTATTTCTCAAGAAGAATAAAGATATTATTATTATTGTTTTGGAAGATTTATCGTCTCGTTTGTCTTCACCACACAAAATTTTGTGGGTGAATCTTAAATTTAAATGATTCTGAATGTGTCTGTTTTCAAGTGTGCTTATATGAAAAACAGACCATAGTACCCATAACTCACACCTTCGAATCAATTACAGTTGACCAGATTCATAACTCACTACCTTCGAGACTCATCACAGATGAGCAAATTTATAACTTTACATTTATTTTTTAAAGCAAGTGAGACTTGAAAATGCCCTACTTCAAAATACATTTCCAAAAGTTACACTTATTCAATGAGCTGGCATTTCCTTTTGAAATATATATTTAATAACGAGGAACAGGGATAAATAAGGACTCGGGAAGTGAAAACGAAAGAATCCACCAGAAATTTGTTGTGGCGAAACAATTGATATATTTTGAAAAATTCATCATTTTTTAACATAATGAGAATTAATGAAAACTTGAATAGCTTCATGTCACACTGACTTGAAAGCTTCTTTTTTTTTGGCGTAATTGTTGGAATGTTGGATTTGAATGGGTTCAATTTTAGGTTCAAGTCAACTTTTCGAATTCTTTTTCACTCTATTTTCAAACTATTCGAATTTGAAAATAACAAAATTTGTAAATATTTTTGAATGCTTTTTAAGGTTGCTTATCAAAAAATTCAATATTTCTCTTATTCGGGACATACCTCTCAGATCTATCTATAGAAATATAAATGTGAAAGTTTGTGAGGATTTATGTATGTATGTATGTATGTTTGTAGCTATTTCACGCCTAAACTACCGAACGGATACAGATGAAACTTTACATCTATATCAGAATAACAAATAGGCTACAATTTACTAATGTTTTGTGTAAATGATATAACGATAAGTATTGAGTAAGTCGGCAAAATTCTTGCTCCCTGAGAGCTACCTTGGCGTACACTGCCAATACCGTTGGAGTTACATGCAGATAATATACCATAAGATTGTTCATCTTAAATAGTTCTAAATAAAAGTCCATGATATCATATATCTACCTCTTATGTGGTGGCCACTATACGCAAAATACTGAGCCATATATACAATTGAATTGGATACTTTTTCACAATGCACATTTCAGAATATCTGTCAAATTCTTATAAAAATTGGTACAATTGTCGTTTCAAGTATTTAATACAGATAAACTTTGTCTTTCACACTAAGTAATTTGGACGAATCGTTCAAAGTTATTATGGTAAGATTAAATTGACGAAACGCAGTAAGCCATTACTAGTTGCGTCTACTGTAAGACGACGGGGGACGATGCGCGGGGATAGGGGACGGTCTGAGCAATGAAGCGCCATCGCCGAAAAAAACGCAACCTGAACGCGGGCAGACATCGTTGACGGTTGTATTAGTTTCGCGAATTTCTTTATAGGTTACATAATTCGATACTCGAAGCTTAGAAGATCATTACTTAGTGCAGTTGGCATATTTTTTTAGTTACTGTATTTTCAAAGTAAAAATATAAATTACTAGCTATTTCCTACTCTTATATTAATGTACAGCCGAAGGTACTGAACCTACCATTTTGAAATATGCAGGTAGGTTCTATGTATAGTGTGAATAAGCATCAAGAAAGAGAATCAGGGATTTCCACCCCAAGGGGAAAAATAGGGGTTCAAAGATTGTATTAAATTTCGTTCAGTTTTGAAGTAGGAAACCTGAAGTTTTGGGTTAAAAAAAATTGTTCAAAATGGTCTGCCATGAAACTTAATGTGACATCCCAAATTCTACGCGGGCGAAGCTGCGGACAAGAACCAGTAAACCATATTTTGTAATATTCTTATTATAAGTTCCATTGACACATCGGAAAACTTCATTCTAATGAGAAATGGCAACATTTCCGCTCGTTGAATAATATATAATCAAACAGTCAAAAAATATAGGAAAGAATAAATTTCCCGTTACAATTTGGAATCATCAGCGAACAGTAACTCCTTTGAGTTTGTTACTTGTTTTCTAACGGATTACAGACAGAATAAAAGGTAAAACCAGAACCAAAATAAGCACATTTTCCAATCACCAGAAATGCAATACTCTTCTCGATGCACGTTTCATTTCGTTTCGTCTGACCCATGCGTGTTAAAAGATAAAAACCTCGTTAATTCTTAGCTTGTACAAATTCCGAATTTTGAGAGTTGTTGCTTGTAGGAATTGATAGACGCATAACATCGATTGCTTTCACAATTGATGGTATCTATATATGTCAAATGAAAATTAAAGTTCATTGTAATAATAATAATTATAACTAGATTCAAAGTAGAAGAAGGAATGAAAAGCATTTAAACGATCTTGTTATGGTCAGAATCATGTTTTTTTTTATATGTACGTAGGGATCTATAACAGGAATGAAATGAGCTTAGAAACTACAGATATGAAGTGTTTTGACATGTATTCAAAATGGAAGCACAGTTTTTCAAAATTGTTAGAAAGTTAGTAACTTACACCCACAGAGCTGTTAAGAGCAGAACCCAGTTCACCTGTCTTATCTGGATTTAACGGGCACACTAAATCACCGTAATCTGCTTCGCCTTTGGATTTTTTCCTCTTCAACGAGAATTGAGATTTTTTCGGAACCTGAAAATACCCAATTCGAAAACTGTTTATAAATCTCACTCGGATGTGCTTACCTTCAATTTTGATGAGGGTGTCAAAGGAATATAACCCATGGTGGATTCCGCTTCTCTTTTATCCTGAATTATATCTTTACCTAACAACTCCTTGAAATGGGTGTTGAGATGTCTCCTCAATAATGTTTTTCCCGGAGGAATTGCTAGTAAGGAAGCTAATAATTCGGCGTTGAATTTCGTTTCTCGCACCATTAGACCACCATGAACGCCTGCTCCTCTCAGATTTGGAGCATATTCTGCCAAGTCGACGGCTCTCAGCCATTCCATTACCCTAGAAAGTGAATTACACAATTTTTAGGACTGTACTCTGATTAAAGTCTCTATTGAAATTCTTGTACTGAGATTTAGGGTTAGGAATTTCATTCTGACACTTGATTTATCAAATTCAAGTGTGTTATTGATGAGAACGAATTTTAGAACCATTTCTTCATTTTTCAAAATGAGGAAATATATTTTTACCGACAACAAAACATTCAATTCAATGTTTCCATTACTTTGAAGTTTTTATATTTAAAAAAATATGTAAACCTATTTCATAAAAAAAAAATTATCAGACTAGTGCTACATCTTTTTTGAAAATATTGAAATCTAGAATCTTGAAAATTAAAAAAATCTATCATACCTATGAGTGGTCCACAGTGATATTTGTTTCGGAGTCGGTTGGGGAGGATCGTCTGGGAGGGATCTCCTCTGTAAGCAAGCTGGTTCGTAATTGTTCTCCCTCAAAACCTGAATTCCCCTCTTTATGCTCGCTACGTGCAGCATGGATGTAACGTGTAGGAGAGCTAAATCATCTATGGTCAGTCTATGTAAAACCCGTCCGTCCACCCTGTTGATTAGAAAATTCTCTTTGTGCTGAGGTAACCCCGTGTCGTCTAGCCACCTCAACACCCAGGCCGTGTCCAGCTTACCTGCCTGAGTTAGATACAGATCGCTAGATCCATTCGCTTGGGTGTCTATCAGAGCGAGCTGCAACTTTTTTCTGTGTAACGGATTTTTGATGTTCAGTTCTTTTTCTATTTCACAAAGGGGATAGTCATTGTGAGATTTTCACTAAACAGTTTTACAAAAACGCAACACGTGTTTCGGTATACAAAAGGTTCTTCATGCGTGTTTTTACTCAGTGAGCAATGTCTAAATTGGTAGTAAATTGCCAAAAACGATTCTCTTCGATGGGAAGACTCAACAGATCGTCTCTGGTCTAGATTCCTGGCCAATCTGGCCTGGAAGACAATGAGGCTGCTAACTCTCTTGCAAAGGAGGGTGCAGCAAGCACTTTCGTGGGATCAGAACCTGTCATTTCTTTTCCAAACAAAGATTGTACACCTGAATGGCAGGAGAATTTATAGACGTCTGGCAGAATCTTCCAGGATTGGCTCACTCCAAGGCGTTCATTCACCCTTCGAAGCTTGATTCCAAACAGTTATTGGACTACAGTAGGGATGAACTAACAGTTTAACAGACCTTCTGACAGGTCACTGTCATTTGAATCATCATATACAGAGGCTCGGACTGTCGGAATACAGTGTGTGTCGCCTCTGTTTGCAAAATGATGAAATAACAGAGCAGATACTTTGTATCTGCCCCGCTGGGGACCGAATCAGGTTTTTAGAGTTTGGCAGAGCCGTACCATCCATTCATATATGAGTGGTTCAGCAATTAGACCTCCTAGTGATCTAGGATCATGGCACAGTCCTTGAATGTACAAGATATTTACTGAGGCGGATTTCCACCAAACGGACTCGCTTGCGATTAGATTCGTTTTCAGAAACAGAAACAAAAAACTTGTTTCAGTTTACAAAAACAAACTCAAAACTAGAATTCCACCAAACCGACAAAATTAAATCTGAGTCGCGTGTTATGTTGTGAAATTATTTTCCACTACACCGACAGTTTTCATCATGTCTTCTCTAGACGATGTTTTTATAATAGCCTGCGTTTTTTTTATAAGCGAAATGAGGAAAGGAGTGAAAGCGAAGAAATGTCAAGATACTGGATGAGATAATTGTTAAGAAGACAAATAGATTATGAAGTCGCACATTAAAACAGAATAGTGAGCTGAATAGTTGCTTATTGTTGTCGCCGACCGTTTCCACATAGCGAAACCTATTTACAAAACAGAAACAAAACACCGAAACTTTTTGATATTTTCGCCTGCCGACGGGACATTTCGTTGTTGACAAAAACAGTGGATTGCGATACAATGTCTTCAAAATGCTTCTTATTTTGACAACATAACGTTTTGTTTTGTCGAAATCAGTATATGGGGAATGTTCCTCCTGACGAAAATCAAGTAGATTTCATAAAAGAGCTCTAAAACAACGCATTAAACTCATCATTTCAACCTTTTTCTTAAAAAATGATTTAAATAATCAAAAAAGAGGAATGAAATAATGCATTCAACATTTAAAGGGATTTATTTCTATTTCACCATTTGGCAACATCGGTTATAGCTAATAAAGGACAATGAATCTGTTACCTGTAAGAGACAAACAAAGATGACAGGCGTGCTGTTCTGTTCACTTATGTTCCGAGACATTCTGTGACATATGACATTTTGTGCACCTAACTTATCTTCCTCTGTATAAATACAACAAAACAACTGTTGTTTATGCGGCTTGTGGAGGTGGTATTGAACTATAATTTATATTTTGCCTTAATTGTTGATTCATAAAGATAATTTTCCTTTTTTAAAGTAGAATATCTAGGTACGTATAAATTATTTCAACTTGATATAGGCGCTGTTGCCAATATGTGAATTAGAAACAAATCCCTTTAAAAATTAAAACCCAACATTTGAAACATCAATTTGAATACTTTTCGAAGTGAATTTGAAAAAATCATTAATTAAACTCAATTTTATTTTGTTCAAACTTGCATTTGCTGTAATAACCCAAATTGAGGAACATTCCTCATTGCTGTTTTGTTGTTGTATTGTCCGTTTGGTGAAAATACATCTCTAGAAACTATAAAATCTGTACCGGAATTATTACTCAAGACTAGCTACTAGCAGTAAAATCTTGTTACAAAAAAAATTGATAGTAATATTATCGCTTGTGAACATGCAAGTCATACTACATCCCTATAGAACAAGTAAATGACACTATTTCAGGTACTGCATAGTATTTTGTAATTTATTTCTGATTTTTAACAATAGATTTCCGAGTATAATCAATTTGAAAGACTTACTTGACGCTGATTTGCGGTTCACTCCATCCTAATCTGGCTGCCGCAGTAGCTCTGACGCCGCCTCTTTGAAATTCGCTCAATCCTGGTATGTCTTCTAAGTTTCCAGATCCCGATCTCTTGATTTTACCGAATATTTTTTTGATTCCTTTACTTTTATTGAATGAGAGAGCAGGGGAACCTGGAGATTCACTCGTACCATCTTCTATCACAACTTTTTCAGTTTCAGCTATTAAAATGATTAAATCAATCATTATATTTTTTTTAAAATTGGAAAGGAGGTATTGAATGAAAGCCATTACGCAACTAGGAAGGACATAGTTACGCATTTGCCATCTGAATCATGAAACCAGCTGACCTGGCAAAAGTTGTTTTGCCACATAAATTATTTCTATCGGAACGATAACACTCACAAATAATATTAATCCCTCAATGCTAAAGTGTGTACAATATTTTTCGTTAGTCCATGTTTAGCTAACACAAACAAACTGGATGGTTTGCCCACTCGAGAACATGCCACGAATAACTGTCTGTGTGAAAAACATGGTGTGCTGAAATCCAAGTAACAAACGGACATTGTTTGGCCTTGCTTGGGACTTATTAATAGTCATTGCAAATGCCAATCTAATTGGAAATTGCACACGTTTAAAGCGAATTGGCACTAATAGTGTGCCGTTGCACAGCCGTTGTGGATTTAAGTCACGGAGCGTACCAACCTTCAGTTGTAAATTATGTGGTAGCAATTTTTCAATGAGTTCAAAAACCCTTTTGGATAATTTACAGCTTCGGTAGCATCACAAACTGTATCTATGCTCGATGGATAAACAATAATAGTGGCCGAAAACTGTGTAGGCCGTGAGAGAAGGTTTGTTGTGTGAGAGAGACCGGATTCGTTCTCATCCCTAGTTTGTGCTGAGTAGGAAGTGACACCGTTTTGAGAAGTGCCTGAATGGCTCATTGGTGTCCAACCACTGTCCCGAAAGTCTCCTGAAGTTGTAGAGGATCTACTTTTCATGAAACGTGATTGTTCCCGTGACTGTCGTTTTAGTTGCGCAAAAGCAAATTAGAACAAACCTCGAACCTCGATCTTTCTAATATACGTTTTAAACTATCAAAAATCGCATTGGAACTGACGCCCAGTTCTTCCTTTATTCCAAGCACCGTTTGTGATGGGTCAGTCTCTACCAGGGTCCTCAAATCCTCGTTCTGGATTACTGTAGGTCGACTAAGTCGAGGCTCATCTCCGAGGCTAAAATCTCTGAAGGGAAATTTCACAAACCAACGTCAAACAGTGCATTCATTAACACTATCATTACCAAATCCTGGTTGGTTTTTCGTGCGGTTTCGGCAGCTTTTTGGTTCAATTTGAATTGACCTAAAATCGCTTAAGGACACCATTATAGTAGTGAGTTGAAAAGAGGAAAAAAATTGAAAAAAAAAATGAACAGCATGAATGAATACAGTACAAAATTCTCTATCAATCAGTACATTAAATAGTCATTGAGATATAGAGCTTCAAAAACAGATGACTTTTAAGACAAAACTTCTGAAACAATCTAATTTCACAAATAAATATATGATCAATGACGGATTATGATATTGTATTCCCAGTGCACAAAATATAGGCGCAGCTTTCATTTACACTCGATCAGAGGTTTTAAGATAATTCTTAATAGCTTTTGACCTGAATCAGTCTGGCATATTTAGGGCTACAATACATTTCACAGCTGGATTGGAGGACATTCTGTATCTCCTTCTAGGATTTTCTGTATCCTAGAGTGTTGGTGGAAACTTGAAGTGCACCAGATATGTTTTATGTTCAACATTGAGAAGATATACCAATATTGAGAAGATACCAGTGAATGTAATTAGTTGTGTGTGATAAATACTAAGAGTGGATTTCCACAGTTAGGCCAAACCGAAATGTGTTCCTGTTTTGGAATTTCAATTGCTACATTGAACCGCTGCATTAGTAATGCATACTTCGTCTCTATCAATATAGTCTGATCTAACCTGCTGAGAAGATGTGAAATGTGGATGTATAGCTAAACATAATACAAAATTAGTGATCTCTCCAAAGCGTGAGAGTGTTTAGATTGTAAAGACTGGAAGAGAAAATATATAAATAACATAACATTTCTTTTACAAATCAATCTGTTGAACAACGCTCACACTTTGTTTAAATGAGGATTATAGTAGATAGCTCGAGTCATACTTTTGAATATTTCAATAGTTAATATCTACATTTTAACCCTACTTGTGATTTTTATTTTTGGTATGAAAATCTAAAGATTACAATGAAATACAGTTTTGATGAGAACTACACTTCTGATAACATACAACAATTGAAACAAACGTGCCAAGCTATTTTCGAATTGATGAGATATTCTGTAAAAACTGATGATTGGACTAGTTTTTGTTTCGGATGCGTCAAAAAAAAACTATATTAAACATTAAAAGTCTTAAAAGATATCCCAAGATTCTGTTCGAATTGCAAGACTGGATGATACAAAATATTAACGATTAATTCATTGCTATTCAAGTAATACTTTACTGTGACAATTTACAAAACTCCAACACGTGTTTCGCTTTAGAAAGTAGCGTTTTCATATAAAACGTTTTATAAATGGCAACGGCTGACGTCTAGCTAGTACACTCCAACTTATTCAGCTTAGTAGAAAATCACTGAATGTTAGTGATTGTTTGTCATGACGATCTATGCGCAGATGACAGTTGACAAAATCAGTAGATTACCTCTCATTTTTGCGAGATCATCTTCAAGAACCCTGAGATAAGGTAACTTTGGAAGTTCACTAACATATACAGTTTTTATAGGACAATCAACCGTCATATTTTCAGTGAGTAATACACGATTCACAGTTCTCTCAACAATGAATTGGACAAAGGAGGTCTACTCTTTAGTGTCTACGGTCTCCAGATTCGAAATAACTAGATTTTCACTTATAGAAACATATGAGAAATCTAGTTTCTGTTCGGAATATTCATACATTCCAAGAATTGACTTGGATAAGAACAGCTCAGCTATGCATTGAAGTTCCCAATGAAAATGTTGATCACTTTTTGTAGTGTGGTTAGGACACCCTCTATGCCAACATATACATGAGTAATGGAAATGAAGCAAACATATTCATTATTAAATTCTGCTAATTATACATTTTTTCAAATATTTNGTAGTGTGGTTAGGACACCCTCTATGCCAACATATACATGAGTAATGGAAATGAAGCAAACATATTCTGAATTATTTTTGACAGAATGAATAAAACTGGTTCACAGTTTGTGGAGAGCCATTGGTAAAGAATTATGAAAGAGTTTGAACAATCAAAGGGTGTTACACTTCTAAATTCGAACAAAAACCAAGGATATCTCTTATTTTTTATATTCCATCTAATCCATGAAACAGCGGCGTCAAAAAACTAAAAATAAAAACAATTTCTAAGCAGGGTTAAACGATGATTAACGATGCAGACGGGAAGCAAAGCCTAGTAGACCATAGATGTTAGTATCCTGATGGTTCACGGCATGCTTATGGACAAGAGCTATCACCTAAATTCGGGACCGAGAATCCCCTGTGTCTGCCCCCCACCAGTGAATAAAGTCCCCTACCAAAGGCTACCCCCTTTTTGCTTCCATTGGCAGGATTCGCGTTGCTGTCCACCACGTTGTGGGTTCCATTGGCTAGGAACTGCTGCCTGGGAAGGCTTCCGTACTGTATGTCGATCTGACGTTTGAAGTTCGCAGGCGGTGTCTACAAAAATAAAAACAAAATATTACTGTCGAAGTTTCTAAAAACAAATGAAAACTGTATAGATATGCAATGTGTATGTATGTGTGTATTGTCCGTGTAATTATTTGGAAATATGTATACAAAAAACTATACATGTTCATTTTACTTGATCTAGTACAAATAACTTTAAGATTCTAATCCAAAGCATCTTCCTTTTGATTCAAAAATGATGGACAAACTGGTTAAGATGTGACTGAAGAAAAGTAAAGAGAATCACAAAGGGACAAACGGATTTATTCCTAGCTCTCCACCAATAAATATTAGGTCTCACAATGGAAAGTCTATTCAGAAAGATATCGTTATAGTATTTGAAGATGATGCCTTGAGAATAGTACTCGGCATTTTTCTCTGCAATATAATTGTTCACGAAGGTGATTGCCTCTTCATTTGACGAAGATCTCTGTCCTCCGAGCGCAATTTTTAGAAGAGAGAACAAAAAAGTCGCTTGGGGCAAGATCTGGTGAGTAAGGCGGATACTCTAGCAGTTCAAACCATAGATTTTCGCTAAGGCAACCGCTGAAGTGTGAGACGGTGCGTTGTCTTGCTGAAACAGGATTTTCTTTTTCTGCTAATGTGGCCGTTTTTTCGCAAGTTCTGCCTTCAGCTTGTCAAGTAATGATACGTAGAATGCTCCTGTAACTCCATGACTATTCCAAAAACCAGTCGCCATTACTTTCCCAGACAAAAAACAGTTTTAGTTTTTTCTGGAGCCCGGTTTCTTCTTGCAGTCCACTGTTTCAACTGTATTTTTGATTCGGGCGCCAAAACTTGAATTTATTGCGCCTAAACTGCGCCAATAGAACATTGGAAATGTTCGTTCGAACACGTTTTTGGTCTAACGTGAGCAAACGCGGCATCCAACCCACGGACAACTTTCACAAGCCTAAATGTTGATTTAATAAGTGACAAACACGTTCTTTTAACATGTTCATAACCTCTATTATCTTTCCCATTCCAATTTGGAGGTCGTTTTGCACCATTTGATGAATTTGAGCGATTTTTTCGTCGATAGTTGCAGTTTTTGGAAGCCACGAACGTTCATCGTCTCTCAATGTCTTACGGACACGTTTAAATTCAGCTACCCAAAATTTCACTGTGGTAAATGATGGTACAGAGTCCCCTTACACAGAATCCAACTCATCTTTGATTTGCGTAGGCGTATTGCCTTTCAAAAACCAATATTTAATGACAGATCGACACTCAACTTTGTCCATTTTCATAAAAACACTCGCATCAACAAAATTCACTAGCTTTTATTTACGAGTCCTGTTATGTTCATGTTGAGGACGTATTTTTTGCAGTCGTATTGACGTTATTTTCACAATCTGGCAAAAAGACATTCATCAATTTGTTGAGTGTACGATTTACGCATTAATATGTCATTCGACGTTTGTTTAAGGTTATGATGCTTTTTGTTACAAAACAACTGGTATTAGTTCAATTTTGTTTGAATAAATCATATGTTTCAGTCTTCATATTTCCTTCTGCACTTGTTACTGTGAATTATAAGTCGGATCACACAAGATATTATTGTCTATGATGAAACTGATGATTAATGAAAACAAATACCTCAAAAAAAAAACTCCAACTGTAGGTTGACAGGTGTCGCACTACTTATTTTCCTTTTCTAGGTTTTTGGCTAAATATCAGTTGATATAGAACTTTTTTAATGGTTTCTGCTTTACGAATATTTATTTATTTATACAAACATTGTATATACATTATAGACTCTTTTCTAAATGAAAAATAATTATACCTTTGGTTGCTGATTTTCTTGAGGAACAGGTGATGCCGTTTCTATTCTTCTCGGGCTATTACCCGCTACTGAGACTGGACTAGGAGCTGGAGACATTCTTACATTTGGTTGCTATAAAAAATAAACACATTTAAAATGTTTAATAATATCACCAAAGTGATTAGAACTGATATGTATGCTTATGATTGCTAAGAATTTCAAGGTTTCCAACCGAATAAAAATCATAGTTAGATAATATTGAGCTGATCTTTCACACATTGCTCAGTAAACTGATATCATTTGTATCAATAGAAAATTTGATATTGAACAAAATCATTATTGTGAGATTTGCATTTGGAATTCAATTACTACTGGCTATAATTTTCCAAATAAAAAATATACGTCTTTTTGAAAAAGAATTTAGGTACAAATGAAAAATGAAGAAAACAATTATACAAACAAATTCATTACTGAGAATAATCGTATAAGGTTGTTTCAAAATTTTTGTCACTTTTTATGAGTCTACTTTAAACTGTAATAGTTCAGTGAATACTAATTAAATTTGATCGAAATGAGCGCCATTTGAACCAGTGCACTTTTTCCAACGTAACATAAGTCAATTAATTCCGTCAGCATAAAAATTAGGTACTCGGAATTCAATGAAGTCGACGAAGGCCGTTTTTGCCTGGTCCTGATTGGCGAAGGTTCTATCGGTGAGAAAGTTATCGAATTACTTGAAAAGATGGTTGTCGGTTGGCGGGAGGTCTGGCGAGTATGGCGGGTGAAGAATTTCGACGCTCAATTTGCTTAATTGTCGTGAAGCGGGATCGGACCTCTTCTGTTGACCAGTGCCGGTGCTGCTGACGCAATTTTCGGTACATTTCGTCGGTTTCCTCACAGTTAGTCTCTACTGATATGTTTAGGTCCGGTTACAGAAAGTTATAGTGAATCACACTAGCCGCTGACCACCATACAGTAATCATGGTTATTGCACAAAAGCAAAGAAACACATACTTCGAAACGTGACAATTTCTGCAGATCGTTCGAATCGTGGGGCACCCAATTTTCAACCTTTTTGACCTTTCCAATACGTTTTGAACCATCAAAAACCGCATGGGAGCTGACGATCAGTTCTTCCGCCATTCCACGCACCGTTTGTGATAGATCAGTCAACACTAGGGTTGCCGAAACCTCATACTGTAGGTCGACCGCTTCGGGTCCCATCATCGAGGCTTAAATCTCCGGAACGAAATTTTGCAAACCAAATCAACACCAACATTAGCAAACTCCTGGTTATTTTTCGGGCTGTTTCGGCAGTGCCTTGGTTCAATTTGAATTTCTAGAGAAAAAATGACCGAAAATCGCTCAACAACATATTGTAGAAATGAACTGAGAAGAGGCAAAAAAATGAAAGTTGGAAAAAATGAATACCATCAATATGTCGATCAGTATATTATACCTCGATACAGTCTGAGTCACAAGATCTTCTTTTTTGGAACTTCTGTCTAAGGCTACCGAAAATTATGATTTAGGGGTCATTCGATTTGGAATGACCTCTAGCAACTTTTTGATAAATTTCAAGAGGGGCTCGAAACAATTGCAAAAGTTATAAACAATTCAATAAAAAATGGGGGTTTGGTTTTTTGCAAATATCTCGAAAAATGTTAAAAATATCCGGAATTTGAAAAAAGATCCTTAAAGAGGAGGAAGTTTCCCAAAAACAAGTCCCACCTCCCGGAACTCTATCACCAATATTTATAATTTTAATTTAGAGGCGAAAATAGCGCTGAAATCGGGCGATGAGCGTCACGCAGACTCTGACCGATATGGACCTTTGAAAAATAAAATTTTTTTTTCTTAATATGATATTCAATGAGTTAAAATAATTTTATTTTTCAAAGGTCCGTGTCGGTCAGAGTCTGCGGGACGCGCATCGCCCGCTTTCAGCGCTATTTTCGCCTCTAAATTAAAATTATAAATATTAGTGATAGAGTTCCGGGAGTGGGACTTGTATTAGGAAATTTCCTCCTCTTTAAGGATCTTATTTCAAATTTCGGATCTTTGATATTTTCCGAGATATTTGCAAAAAACCCAATTGTTTATAACTTTTACAATTTTTTCGAGACCCTCTTGATATTTTGAAGTTGCTAGAGGTCATTCCGAGTCGAATGAGCCCTGGATCATAATTTTCGGTGCCCTTGCACATAAGTTTCAAAAAAAGGATCTTGTGATTCCAGACTAAGTAGGATGAATATTCATTGAGATATGGAGCTACAAAAACATATGACAATGGACAAAACTTTTGAAACAATCTGATATCTACAACTGGATGGGGAATGTTCCTCAATTTGGGTTATTACAGCAAATGCAAGTTTGAACAAAATAAAGTTGAGTTTAATTCATGAGTTTTTCAAATTCACTTCGAAAAGTTTTCAGATAGATGTTTCAAATGTTGGGTTTTAATTTTTAAAGGGATTTGTTTCTAATTCATATATTGGCAACAGCGCCTATATCAAATTGAAATAATTTATACGTACGTAGATATTCTACTTTAAAAAAGGAAAATTATCTTTATAAATCAACAATTAAGCCAAAATATAAATTATAGTTCAATACCACCTCCACAAGCCACATAAACAACAGTTGTTTTGTTATTTATTTATATAGAGGAAGATAGGTTAGGTGCACGAAATGTCATATGTCACAGAATGTCTCGGAACTCGGAACATAAGTAAACAGAACAGCACGCCTGTCATGTTTGTTTGTCTCATATAGGTAACAGATTCATTGCCCTTCATTAGCTATAAGGGGCCATCCATAACGTACGTCACACGAATTTTAGGACTTTTGAAACCCTCCCCCCGTCCTTGTCACAGGTTGTCACATTTTTAAATGTGTGACGTCACACATTTTTTAAATGTATGTATGTATTTAAAAATATCCAAACTTTGCGTTTTAGTATTTTAAATTTTAACATGTGACGTCACAAAACTATTGACCCCCCATACCCCTTGTCACACGATGTCACACTTCGGTGATACCCTCCCTCCCCATTAACGTGTGACGTACTTTATGGATGGCCCCTAACCGATGTTGCCAAATGGTAAATAGAAACAAATCCCTTTAAAATGTTGAATGCATTATTTCATTCCTCTTTTTTAAGTATTTAAATAATAAAAAAAAAAGGTTGACATGATAAGTTTGAAATGCGTTGTTTTAGAGCTCTTTTATGAAAACTACTTGATTTTCGTCAGGAGGAACATTCCTCATACTCGAGAAATTTGACAACACCTAGTGGTGATGTGAAAATAAAGAAAGGGTCAGAGTTATGACATTTATAGCAGTTATTTGCGGGGCGCACATTTTTGCAATAGGTGGACCCACAGGCATGTTTAAAATCTGAAACGCCGATTACCATTGAACAAATAAGTTTATATTTAACTCCGTATCTGCGTAGTGTTCAAATTCATCCAAAAATATTTCGTGATTCAACATTTTCACTATTAATAACTGAATAAATTTATATAAAACAACCCGAATTATTCCTCATAGTCTGTATGTTTACGTAACACGCCCACCACAATAATTTCAATTACGACCAGTTGTTGAACCCGCTTAATTAATTTCAATTCAGACAATTCCAACTTAAGCGACGAAAACGATTATTTTCTTTAAAAAGCTCAATAGCTAACTTCGTTTTGTCAGGCTAGCTGACAATGATTTAGTTTAGATATCAAAATAAATCTCTGAAATTTCTTGTGATGCACGGTTTGGAACCTTTGGTAGTAGTAATGAATATTACTGGAGTTTTATCCTAAATAACGGGTTGGTGTTGGGATAAAACTCCAATAATATTCTGAAATTTCTGTTGACATTTTTTTCTTACCTGATTGCCAGCAAGCTGCACCGGGGTGGAAGTAAGCGTTGGTTGTGAAGCCATCCTGGGCATAACAGGTGGTTTCTTTATCTCAGAATTATTGTTGTACTGACTATTCCTTAATTCTAAATTCTCCCTCTCTAAAGCTGCGTGTTGTAATTTCAGTTCGCTCATTATAGACATGAGTTCCAGTTTTTGCGTTTCTAGTGATGATCTGGACAGAACTTCCTGGAAGGATAGAGCAATCAAATTTTTTGTCAAAAACAATTACAACTTTTGAAAGAAGTATAATCTTGGAAACCTTTCTATAAAAACTGCCACAGTAAAATACTATGAAGGTTAAAAAATTTGAAAATAAACTTATTTTGTCTTCCTTTCTGAGGAAAATTTCCGTTCATTATATTTCAATAGAGATTTTGAGAGATGAAAAAGTGAAAGCAACTTTCAGATTTTCGTGAAATTTCCTGAGAGAATATTTGTTTATTCAGATTTATTGGTTGTTTATTATTGGTTAGTTCACCTAATCTCGTAAAGTGACAGTTTCTTAGCAAAACGTTGAGGAAAAAACAGAAGAAGTTAAAATTTCGTATGGGCCAGAAAAATGTAAGGCATTCTCTGATTTTTTTCAGCAAATTCGGACACATTCAAGTACTAAATAAAATCTAAGAAAGCCAAATCTGTTAAAAAAAAAATCTGTTTTTCCGTTAACCAGCTGTGGCACCCTTACGAACGACAACCCTCAGAAGTCGAAACTTGTGCGAGCTAAGGATTAACGAGGTCTTACCTTTTAACGTGTGATTCCTAACACGAATTGAACGATAGCAAGTGAAAATCGATCGTTCAAACTGGGGCTTGAACCACTGACCAACCCGGCAGTCAATTCGAGTGAGTGAACAAAGCACCCACGTCGAACCGCCTGGCCACCGACCGAAAATATTCTTCCATTCATCTTTGTTAATAACCGAGAAACTGCTAGAAAATGGCAAAAAGTCTTCTTGACATTAGGTGACAAGAAGGTTCTACAGAACGGTCCTCACTGGAATTTTTCGTTCCGAGATTGTTGAAATAAAATGTCTACAAGACACAGCCAACTATTGTAGATAATTTACGAAAAAATTACCAGATGTTGTAGGCTACTAACAATTGATTTCTTCAGGATGTAGATTGGGTTCGGTTCGGTCTAAAATGAGTGAGTCTATTCGACCCTCCACCGCAACCCGCAAGGGTTTATTGTGGCTCACACCTATTCACACTCGACCAAATAAACCCAGCTTCTTATCGAAGCCGATTAGTTTGAATAGTGAGTGGTCTTTCAGGTTAGATGGATTTGACAGACTATCTGACCAAGACTGATGCAGAGAAATAGGTTTCTATACTTTGTAAGTAATTCCCAATTATTATAGGCTATTAAAATTGGTTTTTCATTGTTTAGAGATCTAAAAGTTTTATTTTTATGTGAAGAATTTTGTTTTCTATAATCAAACAAATACAATAATTTTATTAAAGCACAGAAGCAGAGGTGATAAATGATCCAATATATAAACATAGAAGCTCCACGTCGCTTTCACGTCCCTTATGAGGGCATTGGAGCATTTATTTACATAGAAGAGACAAACGTCCGCGCCTTATCTCCTCCCAACGTCTTTTCTCTGTGAATCGGCGCTTGAAATCAAAAGGATACTTTTTTCTCAAAGTACAGATTGAGTCTCCTGCAGACCGGGATCAAATTTTATTGTAGCGCTTCCTGTCTTTGAATTTAAATAAAACAGAATGTGCCTGGGATATCATCGAAATTTTTTATTCGTTTGAAAGACCTATTGATGCCATTATGTGTGGAATATAATATCGTTCAAATATCCGCTATGGCTTCTCTGCTTCTCTGGTGCATAAACCAGGCTGGATTTGATCGATAGCAAGAGTTATGTTTGTGGCTAATTCGCATACCAATAAAAAGTCAAACGGGGTCAAATATCATGATCTCGGTGGACTCCACGTGAGATGACCATGCCGTCAAATCGCTCGTGCAGAATATCCAATGTGGCATGAGTTGTGTGGCACGTAGCGCCTTCCTGTTGATACCACTTGTCCAGATCATCCAATTCTGGCCATAAGAAGTTGGTAATCATGGACAGATAACGCCGCCAGCCCAAAATCCACACCAAGTAGTGACTTTTCCGGAATGCAATGGACGTTCTTAGATCTCATGTGGATTGGTATCGTCCCAAATTCGAGAATTTTGTTTTTTCAAGAATCCATCAATCCAGAAATGGGCCTCATCGGTGAAGATGAATTTTCAATGAAAATTAGGGTCATTCGCCAACTGCTCCGGAGCCCATTCAGCGAACACACGTCGTTGTCTATGGTCGTTTACCTCCAGTTCCTAGGTGAGTTGAATTTTGTACGGGTGCAGGTTCAAGTCACGACGCAAAATTCACTAAGTTGTGGTTTGCGAAAGGCCGAGTTCTTGTGAGCGACGCGAAATCGACTGCTTCTTCTGCACACTCTCACAGACTGCGGCGATGTTTTCGGTGGATCTTGCGTTTCGTCGACATATCAGTGGACTTAAATTTATCCACCACATTGTGGATAGTCGTCTCGGTAGGACGATTATGCCAAGCGTAAAATGAGCGAAGAGCGCGGTACGTTGTCCGAACAGAACACTTATTTTGATAAAAAAAATATTGGCATGTTTTGTTGAATACTGTATCTATCCATGACAACTAATTTGACAGATATGTAGCTTCAACAAGATGTATGTTGTTAATTGTCAAAAGTTCGAAAGTTCCTATAGGGAGTTGATACGATTTTATAGATTCAAATGGAAGTTATAAGCTAGAAAAAAAACAAATAGGGATAAATGGTCCCCAGTCTCCGCCATTGAAAAACTGATGTGTTTGTGAGTATATGTGAGTAAAAGATGTATATTTTCTCTATTAACTATTTTTTTCTTCACATATTCACTTACCCGTTGCAATTTGTCCTCGGCCTCTGATAAAAGCTGTTTTTTCTCTTGTAACATTTTTTCCAAGTCGGTAATTTTATCTGATTGTGCTTCAATTTGGTCGGTGAGAACCTGGACTTGTAGTGCCAGGTTTTCCTTTTCGTATTGAATTTTTCGCAGCTTTTCATCTTGTTCTCCGGGCTGAAAATATATTGCACATATTTTCCTATTTTCCATAAACATATTGACAGAGTGATCTGATTTTTGCAACTACATGATATGACAAAAATATACAAAAAAAAGAAATAAATATTTGTAAAATGTACGCTTTCCCCGTGGAGGGGAGCGGTCACGATCGTTTTCATAGACAGAGGAGCGGAGAGTCCATTCTGTACACGTTTCCTGGTTTATTGTATTGTGAAAATACAATAAAAACTATATAAATACAGAAAGAACTATATTCAAGACAGGAGCTGATCGACAACCTCCTCCTCAAAAAAAAACTCGATGATATTAAATGATGTTGATTAACACTGTCTGAGGAACTTTTTACTTTACTGTAATTCAGTTTATACCACGATATGGAATGCCATCGTGGGAAAATATATAAAGAATGTAAACCTATATTTAAGGAGGTTATTATCAACATTTGGATGATAGAAATTGTTTGTTACTCTAATAAGATCAAAATCAATCATGAATTTTTTCAGCTATCCAAGCCGAAATAACATCCAAATGTCGGTAAATGGTCCTCTCTCAATAGGTATAATGGTTTTGACTTTTGAAATGATTTCAAATATTCTCTTGTGACGTGTCTATAATAAATTGTATGCTCCTGAAGATCAATAAATAGTAGGTATTAGTATTGCTCTTATTACTATTATTATTGTAAGAATCCATCATAATGGAATATCTCTAATTTTCAGAAGACCGGATTATTACACTACTATTTGTGGTTCCTTGGGAAGGCTCTTATAGGTTCCCAAATGAATGGACCCTCACAAGTATCCATCTTTATCTTGTGGTAGGTTATAGGAGTTTTGATGTAGAATTATATCTGTATGTGTTATTTTCCTGTACACTATTCGCCCTAATGTCACATCTTATCTCTACATCCTACATCCAAGATTGTCCTTGGGTTTTTCGTTTTATTGTGAATCGTATTTTGAGGGAGTTCTGATATGTCAGAAATACATCGAGTTGCTCTTCAGCATGCACGATGCAAAATGGGGATTTACTCGAGCGACATTGAGACATATTAGGTTGCAAAGCTTAGATGATAAGAAAAAGGTATATGATATATACCTTTTCATCGATGGGGAAAGCGGCTATAGATTTTAAAATATGTAAAAAAATACTGTTGCATGGACATACTCGAGCGCGTCAGATATTGATAGCATCAATGTCCTACGTATTTTTAATAATGTTGGTATGTTAATCTGATCGTTTGAATGATGTAGGTGGTTTTATGTAAGGGTTAAAAAAGAAAAAAAAAATCGAGCGCGACAGATTTTCTAAGGGGATGTTAAGTGCAACAAAAAAAAGCTCTCATTCAATAATCTGACGATTTCGATCTGACGCAAACTCGCGGCCATTATTATAATGTGCAAAAAAAATTGGCCATTTTGAAATACTCAAGCGCATCAGATTAAGATATATATGGTTCATCTTCATGTTTTAGACGTGCTGTCTCATAATTTGACGATTATCTAGAGGGATTCGCTTAATCTGACAAAAACAATATATTTTTTTCAATTCATTGAACTTAATTAATTGAAAAGCTCAGGAAATAGCATGCAAATAAATAAGTGTATGTTTTTTAAGTAGAATACTTGTATTTATAAAAAACTAATTTTAAAAAATGCCCAAAAAAATTCAATTTTTCATAATCAATTGATGAACTAATGAAGAAAAGAGAAATGAAACTTTTTATTTTTTTTACCACTTTTATTTGTAACTAACGTTACAATATATAAGGACATTTTCAAACTTACACAATGTATAAGTTATACAAGTTATACAAACGTATACAATGTATAAGTTTGAAAATGTCCTTATAGGACAAAACTGCAGTGATGTTAGTTACAAATAAAAGTGGTAAAAAACATAGAAAGTTCAATTTCTTTTTTCTTCATTATGATTTCCTACCACGTAGTAACGGCTACATCCATCAATTAATTGATTAATTAATCATCATCCCCATCTTCATCACGACCGAGTATCTGTGATCAGCTGTGATGGCGTCATGGCAACAGAATTCAGAGTGGGGACGGAGTGAGAGAGTAATAGATAGACAAAAAGTGAAGACAGAATAGAGGAATAGAAACTCGGAGAGGGAAATATAGGTATCACACAGCTGCACGCATTAAACTTTATCAACGAATTTTTGTTATTTCGGCTTGCGGAAATCGTCAGATTCTATAATTTTAGTTATCCTTGAATTATTTCCTTCAAAATGAAAAAAAAATTAGCTACGCTCGAGAATGCCGAAATGACGTTATTTTTTTACAACTTTGCTGCCCTCCCCTTTCTTTACGTCATTCTCAAATTGTCATATTACTGGAATATACACTTTTTAGCAGGTAATTAACTCACCCTACCTCAATTTGACGCGCTCGAGAATTTCTGATGATAATTTTTTTTTACTAATCTGATCCTTTATCTCTCTCAGGTGGCCTTATATATGGGGCTCATATTTGGTGTAGGTACTTAACCGGGTACAAGGTATCCCCCTGTATAATAATCTGCCGCGCTTTAGTAAATCCCGAAATCCCCGCTTGGGCTCGCCTATTATAGTTTAAAAAACTATAAAACACGCTTTTAAAGAACATCGAACTAAAAAGTTGTATTTTTAAATAAGCTTAAAATAATAACGAACGTGAAAAAAGCGAAAAAAGCGAAGGGCGCTTGATACACAAAAAATATGGCAAAAAGCGCCCAGTAGTAGTATTTTTCGTTCGTTATTGTTTTAAGTTTATTTAAAAAAAATTGTAACTTTTTTGTTCGATGTTCTGAAAGCGTGTTTTTTAGTTTTTAAAGCTATATTTATTTTTCATTTTTTAGTTTTGTATGCTATAAAAGCGTGTTTTTTAGCCTTTTTCTATATTTATTCTATCTAAACTTTGAGATAAATCAGCCGTATATTGTTTAGAAAAATGACCATTGATATTTTCCAATTCCGGAGAGGAGCCTGAAAATCAGCTACCAAGCCCAAGGCAGCAGGCGCGCAAAGGAGGGTTACAAATAAGGCAGCAGGCGCGCGTGTTGATAAAAAAAATAATTTTTCCAAATGAAGAAATACATGTGAAGTAAGTTCGAATTATATCAAGGAGGTAACGTACAGCGCCATCTGCTCGCGAATAGATCAAGCAATAATGTCGATAATTCTGTTAAATACAGATCCCGAGCATTCAAACGAGAATAAATATGAAATGAAAAGGAGAGTTACAAACAAACAAACATACATACATAAAGGTGAAGTTAATAAAAGCGTGTTATCGATATAAGATTATTATATCCTTGCTACATTACAAACACATTATTAGACATTCTGAAACACATTTTTCTGCAGTGTTATGAATGCATATATTCATTTAGGTAGGTAATATTGTTTTATACTAATTGTCTTATACTAATTGTAACTCTATGCAGACTAAGTTACAGCTTGGAAATTAGTATGATCACCTGATGACTAACATGACTGATAAAACAACAAACTAATCTAAAGTACCTCGGTCTTAAAATAGACGAAACAACAATGTTAGTAATCGTTAACGAATTTGATCACTTCTAGAAAATTCTACCTTGGGGTAAGGCGGCGGGGTCCAATGATAGCTTCTGTCTCCGTAAAAACAACAAGCTGGTGGTGGAACGGCGTGATAAGAACAACACTGCATTTCATGCCTGAGTCTGTTATAGTCCCCGTAAATGTCCGGATGGCTTCCCCTATCGACGAACCTCTGATGGGGGTGTTGCTCCAACATGGGATTACTCCCGTACCTCTGGGGATCCAGCCGTTCATGCCGCCTCTGGAAGTTCTCGTAGCAGTAGTCGTGTGGGTTGCAGCACCAATTCTGACAGCCCGGACCGGCGAAATCATCTAACCTGGGTGGACTTTTCAGGATGTGCGAAGACCTTGACTTTTGGTCTCGTTCGTGCCTGTTCTGGTGGTGTTGCCTCCTTCGATCCAGACTTCCGGGGGCGCCTTTCTCTTTGCGGGGCGTTTTGTCGCGTAAGGGGCGGTTCAGGGGAGGTTTCGTGACTGGGATCTGGTCCACCTCTTCCATTTTCGGAGAGGAGGGGGGCGTCGGTTCCTTACGGATCCATTGGAAGTCGCTGTTGCAGCGGGTCGAGCTATCTGTTTGGAAAATTCTTTCTCAAGTGATACATTTCATCAAAAAGTTAATGGATTGGATATAATTGGTAGTCCTAGCCCTAAGATACTGATAAGTTCTATTGAAATTCTAAGTAATTATCAGTGTTCGAGAAGTATCAGTATATGAATGTTTTTTTAGCGGAATTTAGATCTTTATGTAACTTCTTGCCCGATAAGTTAGGGAAGCAAAATATATTTAATTTTACATTTTATCTATAATCATGCCCTAATGAATCACTAGAAATATTAATAAAAGAAAAGTAGTGAAAGTGACTCTTTTGGCCTACAGGGAGGTGTGGTGGAATGGAAGAAAATTTTCAGAGGTGTTCATAGTGTGGATCCGAATTTCTGCTCAGATGTATCAATTATAAACTATAATAATACCTCTGCAGAAAAAAAAAACTTAAATTTAAAATTCTGTATTTTAAAGTATCTATTCCAAATAAATCATTCGGGGTGGCTCGTTTAACTAGAATGTACTGTATATTGAAGGGACTTTCATTACAAATTTTTGTCAAACGCTTTTTTACACTTTGTAAAAAATTTCAATGGTTGAATGATATCTGTGACAACTAAATACTAATGTTCTTCGAAACATTATATTAGTGGTTAGGAACGTTGGTTATCCGGTCTAGGTAGCCGTGGTACAATGGTAGACTCGTTTACCAACGAGAAGGTTGTAACACACTGCTGCCATTATTAACCTTTAAGGATCATCCACAAATTGTCGTGGAAGTGGGCGAGTGACATGTTTTTCTCAGGGTCAATCAGTCCCCTACGTTTTCATTTTTTACAACCATTCAGAATTTGCAGTTTTTCGAGATTATCAACTGTTGTTTGCAAACACAATTGGTTTACATCTTCAGGAGTACAACAACTGCCTTTGAACTGTTATTGAAATAGTTGCATTGATTTAAAGAACAAAATATACTAAACTATATCCATCCAACAAAAAAACTAACCCAAACAAAGATCGATGCGTAATCAAGGCCTGATCACCACGCACATTTGCATCTATTGGGCGAAATAAACAAGCCTCCTTACGTTGGCCAATCAGATTCAACTGCAATCGGCTGGCGGAATTCATGTTATAGTGTCGGAGTGATCAGTTACGTTTTAACGCCTGTGGTGTGTACATATACTGTATTTCAAAGTTTAAATTTGTTTAATGTGAATTACTGATAATGCTAATGAAGAAAATGCTACTTTGTATCCCTACACAGCATCTAATAATTTTCCTATACCCAGCCGCATATTAAAAATAAAATTAAATTTCGATCGTTCCTTAGTACGACTCTGTACAAGCAGCCTTGTCTGGAAGATTACTTGCATTAGGTATGATAATGTTTCGGAGCACTCCGTTATTTAGATGGACAGAGTATAGGCTTTCATTTCTATTCAGAATTTTAGGATAAAATACATTGAATATTATTGCTATCTCGGTAATGGTAGGATGAAATGATTTGTAAGACTAAACTAAAAGTTTCCTCGAACACCTATACGAAAAACATTCTACTTTCAAACCAATACGAGGTATATATAATTTGTAAGTGAATCAGGGCCTTAGGAACTCAGAAAATTCCACAGAAACTCGGTAGCATGCATGTAACATCAGAACCCTTTCACTATTCGAAACCAAAAATTATTTCTCGAATCTGGAATTCAGAAATATGTGTCTTCATATATGCTTTCTTTTTGAAATTTTTCTGAACAGAGATACTCAATTTTACATCAATTAATAGTTGAAAGTAGCTGAATATAACAGTAGTAAGGAAATCAGAGTTTTTATAGGCCTTGCTGGGCATTTTCACCTTCCACAATCTGAAAAAATTTAAAGTTTTCCATTACAATATCTATTTTTTTCAGATTGAAAAAGGTGAATATTCCCAGGACGGCCGATGAAAAACTTTGAAAATGGATTTTGTCTAATTGGTACGGCCAAAGTGAGCGGGTCAATTCGGCTCTCCACTGCAATTCACAAGGGTTTATTGTGGTTCATACAAAACTTCTAAGGAATTTTCATGTGAAACATGAAGAGGTGATGTAACATGAGTTTGTGACATGCGTTACATTCTTCAATATTTTCACATCGTCAACACTATTATTCGCCATAAATGGAACACAACAACCCACTTCAGGAAATTTTGTAGAGGTTACGGCCAGAAAGTTGACAAAACCACTATCCACAACAAAATAACCATTTGCAGCAAACTTTATCCTGCGGTTTAATGGCAATGACCAAATAAGCTTTTGGAGTTCCAAAACTCCCGCTCGCTAATGCACTGATATCTGGATCGATATCTGGAGGTGATAATAGTAGGAAAACGTGTTCACGGGAGTGATCATTTATAATGAATAATGTACGAGCTTTTCCTCGCTTCAATGCACTAAAAGCTTTAGGGTTATTTTTTGTATAAATACAGTTGGATAAAATTGTTCATTTGACGAACATTTCTGAAGTTTCTTATATAGGTACAGGCTGATCCATAAGAAGTGCGTACCATTGGAAACTTTACTAATGGAAATGGACCTGTTGGAGAGTATTTAAATGAACAAATTCAAGAACTGTCAACATCCTATGAACGATCAAACTGAATTGTATAATTCACCATTATACTGAATCTGTTTATTTCCAGGTAAAAATAGTTAAGTATATTTACTGTACTTTCGAAAAGTTTATTCTTATAGTTAATGAATTCATACCTGTGACCTTTTCAGGTAGATTCATTCATTAGAAAGTAGGCATACAAGTAAGTAATATGTTAGAGTATAAAATAGTTGTAATTTAAAAGTAATTTTTAGTTTATCCTTGAGGAAGCTATTGTATAGTGAAATACGTGTCGCGGTTTTTGTAAAACCCTTCATAGAGAAAATCATGCAATAAACTGTATGAATTAGTTTTAATATGTATTTTCATCAATTATTAGCCAATTCTATTTAATTAAAATAATTTGAAAAAAACAAATGATCAAAATGTTACACCTACACTTGAGTTTCCTTTATCACTTCATCAGCAAAAGATCAGATCTTTGATGAAGAAATAGATTGTGCTAAAAAACTAGTGTTGAGCAGGGAATGAAGGACCCAAGTGAATGATAGAAATGTCACATTGAAAAGAAAAATATTTGCCAACTACGGAAAATGGCATTCCCTATGTATTTGGAACTGCTTGCAGCTGCTGGTATTTTGAATATGTTTTAAAGTATATTCATGATTTTCCCTTTCAATTTGAGTTTGAAATATTGAACAAGTGTTTCTTTAATTTTGTAAAAATAATGTGAAAACAGTAATAATCTAAGAGCTGTTAGGAATGGCACCTAACTTGTTGGATGAAAATCAATGTAACATTTGGAAAACTCTGTAGGAAAATATGCAATGATCAGGAAGTTACACCTACACTTGAGTTTCCTCTATCATTTCTACAAACCAAATTCACATCTTTGATGAAGAAATACATTGCGAGTCTGCACTGTTAAACTTTTTGTGTAAATTCACATAACATTACGTTGGCCAAAAAATAACCAACGTAATGTCATGTGAAAATACAACAGTGGTTATAACGAAGACAGTCCATTAGATTTTATGTAGAACAAAAACCATTGATATAATGGATAATAACACGAGAACTTATGTGTTTTTACACAAATACTTATGAAACAGTAAAATATGAATTGGAATAATTCTGCATATGTAATGTCATTTTGAATAATATTTTAAGTAAATTTCCTCAAAAGTAATTCAAAATTCTGTGATAGGTAATGCAATTTTGCAGAAGAACTTACGTAATATTTACCTTATTAATATTGTGTTTTCACATAATACAAAATTCACACTGTATATTTCCATTTTCCCTGTATTTTCACAGTATATTATTACACTCTCCACTGTAGTATTCCAATGTAATTTCACATACTTATTGAATTATAACAATGTATTTTCACATATTTCATAGTCATTTCACAATGGACATATTTCATTTTTGTCTTTATGTTAATTTGAAAATTGAGTGTTATATATCAAAGGAAAAGTTTTATCATAAAACTTTCTTTTGGATTTATATATCAGGGGATTTCTATTGTTACCCTTTACGGATTGAAAAGTCCTTGTAGGTAGCTATAGCTGCCACATTTTTTTTTGACATCACAGCACTGTGTCTAAAAAAAATTGTGCTAAGGGTCTCATTTGAACGACTGAAATGTTTCATTGAATATATATCCTTCCACATGAGACTTTTTTCATTTCATAATTATATCCATGAATCGAACAAATACCACATTTTTGAGACACCCGGTAAAACTTAAGTAATTAATGTCAATAACTGACCAGAAGTGTGGAATGGATAAATTTGGTAGTTCACCATTCATATTAGATTAATTTTAAATCATTTCAATTAAGGTCGAATGCTGTGAAATTCGTAGTAGTCAAAATCTCAATTGATATCACCTTTCAAACTGAACTGTTGTTCCGACGAAGTCGTAGACAAATCCGACGTGGACCCCTGATTCGAGTACGTCTCCGACCATGCTTGGTTTTGCTTCCCTTTTAGGGTCGAATCGTCTTCCAGGCTGGAATCATCGTCGGCCCCTGTCGAGTGCATATTACGTGTCAAATAGAAAATATAAGGACATGGCAGGGAAAACGAAAATAGAAATATCAGACCTTCTGTTTGATTTAGGATTCGTTTCGTTCGTCAATATCTTCTGGAAGAGCTGTGTGAAGAGGGTTCGAGTTAGATTTGGAATTGTATTTACGAAATAGAACACAAATATTCGATTGTAATAATAATTTTTATGATTCCTTAGAAACACAAAATATTCAAACAGGTCAATAGGTTTTTCTGAAATAGAGATGATAGATATATCAAGTTGAAAGGAACAATGCAAATTACATTGAGTATACAAAAATTTTACCAATCATGAGTGCAATAAATGATATAAAGATCACTTAATTCAACTTTATATGTCAACTAGTAGCAAACTCCCCCTTCGTTGGATGTTTAGATGTACAGTTGGAACAATAAAACAACATAAGCAGTAAAAAAACATAATTTATATAGCATATTGTCACCTCCGTAAATACACATTTAAAGTCATAGTTTATACAGATGGCGAAAAATCATGAATGAAACCGCTTCCTGCATTGGATTATAAACAAAATCATGAATGAATCCGCTTCCTGCATTGGATTATAAACAAAATCATGAATGAAACCGCTTCCTGCATTGGATTATGAATAAAATCATGAATGAAACCGCTTTCTGCATTGGACTATAAACAAAATCATAAATGAAACCGCTTCCTGCATTGGATTATAAACAAAATCATGAATGAAACCGCTTTCTGCATTGGATTATAAACAAAATCATGAATGAAACCGTTTTCTGCATTGGACTATAAACAAAATCATAAATGAAACCGCTTCCTGCATTGGATTATAAACAAAATCATGAATGAACCGCTTTCTGCATTGGACTATAAACAAAATCATGAATGAAACCGCTTCCTGCATTGGATTATAAACAAAATCATGAATGGTACCGCTTTCTGCATTGAATTATAAACAAATCAAAATTGTTAGTTATTTTATCGTGGAAAATGCATCTTACTACAGAAAATGTTTAACTACAGAAATTACAATTTTTTTATATGAAATAATTTTTGTCTGCGACTTCAACCGCGGAAACTATAGGATATGTATATCTAATTTACCCTCGTAGAACGTGATCTCTTGAGTATCCGAATGAAAAGAAAACATATGCTATTTCTGGATAATGTAGCTTTCTAATAGTGAAAGAATCATAGAAATCTATTCAGCTACCTATTACAGCTATCTCGCCCTGGCCGCATACGGGTAGATAGACAAAAAGATAAATTAGATTTTATTTGCACTAATAGAAACAAATAATTCCTTACATCATGATTTTCTGTAGAAACCATTCTCGCCGGCAACTCTGAAGCTGGTTAGGTAAAAATAAGGTTATTTTACCAAAATAATTTTTTATTTATGGGAACATAAGCCACTAAAATTAAGTGGCCTAGAACTTTCCTGTAAACAATATTTGATGTTTTATTCTGTGTTTAAAAAAATAGATACATTCATGAGAGTTCTGTCATCAAATATTGTTTACAGAGAAGCTTAAGGCCACCAAGATTCAGTGGTTCGACCTTCCCATAAACCGGCGAAAATGGTCTCTACAAAAAAGTATATGTCTATATAACTACCCGTTCGAAGCCGTGGTGGGTCAAATATAATCGAAATTATTCGAGAGTACTGAACCGATTTCAATAACTCTTTCACTATCAGAAAGCTATATTATCCAGCATAATATAAACTACTTTTATCTCGATATCCTCGCGGGATCGGGTATATGCGGGTTAATTAGTTACATTTTATAGTTCACACGGACGAAGTCGCCAAGCAGAATTCCTTCTTCTGACTGCCATTATGATAAAACTTGTAATTTCAAATTTTAAACCGTGGGCTCAGTTCCATGATAAAATTAAACTCTGAATTGCACCTGATGAACGAAGAAGTTTTATACACTCTTATCAAGTTAGACACACGAGTGTTTACTTTTTTCTTCACACTTGTCAACTAACTATTCTCTCAATTTTTAAGCTGTCGCTGATTCTAGGATAATAATGATACTTAATATCGCCATGCATATTTCAGTAGCACAATCTAATAGTAATTTGTTAAAACACAAAAAGCAACCCTCGTACACTTTAGATAATTCTCGAAATACCAAAGTATATCTCTATTATTCATGATGAATAAATTAATATTCATTCTATTCAACGATTTATTCACCAAAAAGTATTACAGTTGTTCTGGTCTACCCTATTTTTTCAACTTGAATTGAATATTTTGTACTACTAACCAAATAATTGATTTTTTTTAGACGACTTGACAGATCATTGAAAGGAAAGAGTACCTAAACCCTGGAATACATTTTTCAGACGCATTTTCTACGATGGGAGGATAAACAATTTTGATTTATTTATAGTCCCAATGCAGAAAGTAGTTTCATTCATGTTTTTCCGCCATCTGTATGAACCGTGACCTTGAATGTGTATTTACGGAGGTGACGCATTTAGCGCAGTTATATCAAAATAAAAACATGACATAAAATTGCTAAAAATTATTTCTAACCTTGATTTTTCGATATATCACTGGTATATATCACTCAGAAATAACAAATATTTTCATCGTATTACATTCTTCAAACCAGCCGTACATGATACGGGGTATCGTCAAAAGTAAGTGATATAAAAAAATGCCATGTTTAAAAATTCCAAAAGTGATTTTATTTCAACTCAGAAATATAAAAATTTTCAAATGAAAAGATGAAGGACATGTGTTCGATCATGATTCAAGAGCTAATCCAGCAGGATCTTGCCAAGAGAGCACATAATTTTGAAGGGTTTTTATCTGTCCTACTTTTTCTCGTCTCTAATCTTCTGTCGAATGTCTGCTTCTACCGATACTTGTTATTTTTTCAAAACAGCACTGTAGTAAGCAAGCCAAAAACTTGAGAGGTTGAATACGACTTTTCAATCATCTCCCCAGTGATAGCAAAAACGAAAAAAATATTAATAAATTCAAACAACTGTTTGGAACCTTTGGTGTAGTAATGCATATTACTGGAGTTTTCTCCCATCGATCGATGATCGAAACACGTGTCGAAGTGTTAAAAATAACGATTTGGTGTTGGGAAAAAAACTCCAGTGATATTAATTCAAAAAAAATTGAAAAAATATTTAGTGGAATCCTGCTTTTATGACATAAGTAAGTGAATATTTTGCTTATTCATAATCTTTTAATTTGTATACCTATATATGTCTGTGTATATACATTTTATAACTTGTCCAATATCATGTGTATGATCTTAAAGGATGAATAAAGTTTATTATGTTTATTATTTATTCTTATTATGTAGGCCGTGAACTATACTTCAATTTTAAATTGCACACATGCGAAGTCGCGGCGTTTGACTAGTATCATATGAAACTTGAGGTATGCGAGGTATAATAATATGATGATAGCTATGATAATAATTGATGCAGAGGTAATATAGTTTTACAGCACCTTGGGCAGTGGCTACAGACTCTCAGATATATTGATTGGCAGAAGGGGAACAATTGAATGGTCTTTGAAATCGCCAGGTTCAACCCTCTAAGATTTCTTTCTCTCGGGGTATTTCCTTTCCGTTACAACCTGGTGTAATTAATGATTTCGAAAGGCGAATTACACCAGCATGCCGTTCAATTCATGGCAAAGTCCTCAGAAAAGGAATCAAACTTAATTACTGTTTGCACAATGGACTCACCAGAACTGAAAAATTATTTGACGCGCGTTTCTTCGGGAGGTGAATAAAAATATCAAAACATTTTAAAAATGTATTTAAGGAAGTGGATAAGTAAATTCTATGTATTCCACTCTTGAAATTTTGCACTTGATGATTGAAAATTGTTTTTGAAAAAGTAAAAGAACCAACAAAAAAATCAAACGACTTTCTTACCATTATTAAAAGGATGGAAGGTGCAAGTTCTAATTACTTCCGAAGCTTAGAAAACGAAATTTTTCGAGAATTCTGCAAAAATCATTCCTCGCATGAGGAGGGGGAACAACGAGGGAGGTTTTTCACATTATTTCTTGGACGGAGGATATTGAGGGTGGAAAGTTTTCAAAGTGACACCTGACATTGTCTGAAGAAACACCTGTTTTGTGAAGTTGTGTTTGTAGATCAAAAATTGAATATTTTTGTTCAAATGCAATTTTAACAACGTTTTCAGATATTGACAATGTTTTGATTTTCCAAAGAAATTTGCCAGAAATTCGAAGACATTCATATTAGAATTAACAACAGCTGATAATGAAATATTAAACAAATCGTGCAAAAATGCACTAATCAATTTTTCACGGATATAACAACGATAGGACACTAATTAAAATACACTATCAAATAATTGACTTCCAGGGGATAAGAATACTCCCACACTTTTCTGAACATTATAACTAGGATTAACGGTTCGAACTAGTTTTTCAGAAATTAGACTCACGCATTTTTGTCAGCTAATCGCGAATCTGAAGTGAAAACTAACAATACCCAACAATAGGCACCGCCTTGAGGAGACTTATTTTATCTTTGATTTTCCTGGATTGAAACTCATGTCTTCGTGAGGGGACATATTGCTCTACCATAATTTATTATGAAACTACATGACACTTTTGCAAGAGTTTATTCATTGATTCTGTTGGGAGTGTTACAAATTTGAACTAGGTATAACTGTTGTCATTCGAAATGTGCCTTCTACAATGGATTGCTTCTTAGTAGTTCATGAAGTTTCTCATTTGAAGGGTGGCTGAATAAACTAATTGTATTCATTTGCGGAAATAAACAAAGACGTACATCTGTCGAGGTTGAATGCAACATTACATATTTTATTGATCGTTATTGGTCGTAGCTTTCTAAACAATCACAATTGGAGGGAAGGGAGATAGCAATTGTAACACATTTCTGTGACTGTAATGTGAAAACGAACCAACCATAACCTAAAATGAGGTTCTACTTGCATATAACTCAGATATTACAATAAACATACATATGTTTAATGCAATTATTGATGAAATGAACGTGGTTGTTTCGAAAGTTTCGTCCGTTTTGATGACATGTGTTTTTGTAGCTCCATATCTCAACAAATTCTACTGTACTTGTGATGCACTAGTTGAAACCTTTGGTTTAGTAATGAATATTACTGGAGTTTTATCCCAACACCAAACTGTTAATTAACCTCGTTTAATTATTATCATGGATATTGTTGTAAATCACGCCCTACATAAATTAACGCCGGCTGCCACTGGTAGCCATAAACCAATTGTGACGTAGCTAAGAGCGCGTGAATGTACGATGTTGGCTGCCGCTTTAGATGCAGCGAGAATAATGCTACCGATTTCAATGGAATTCCGGCGAAATTTCCACCGCATTCAATTACGATATATAAACGCTAGGCACGTGCATATTGACACAGTCAAGTGGAAGTTACAGTACGACACGCGAAGCGATCTAGTAAGGCGATAGACATTCGAATTATAGTTGAAGTTTTAGTTGAAATGTTAATTGTATTTAAAGTGAAATAAAGTTAAGTTTGATGATTCAGTGTAGTCAATTATTGGTCAACCCACGGGAGCTATAATGTTGTTGAGCGATTTTCGACAATTTTTCTGTACGAATTCAAATTGAACCAAAGCATTACCGAACAGAAAAATTAACCAGGCATTCGGCAATTCGGCGTTCTTATTAGTCAGTGGGCTATGCTTGAAGACGGGCAGTAAACAAACCTAAAGAAATGAACTTTAAATGTTCAAGCCTCGGATATACCTAAACAGTAGGTATGCCTACACAGAAGCCTGTCTCGGATATACCTACACAGTAGGTATACCTACACAGTAGGTATATCTGAGACGGGCTTCAACATTTCAAGTTCATTTCTTTAGATTTGTTTACTGCCCACTGACTAATAAGAAAGTGTTTCTTCCTTATTCAGAGGAATCGGGAAAATTTCGGATAGTACCTCGTCCACTAGATGGAGTGACATTTTTGATGTTCGCTCCAACATAAGGACGAGCAATGAAATACTCTTAAAGAATTTCGATTTTCAATTATGGAATATCATTGACTTAGCCACTCGTCTTGCACTGACGGGTGGCTAAGGAGACCGAAACCGGACTGCAAGTGTGCCCGTTCCAAAATTGAAGGTCGACTCTTTCAGTTGTATTGCTAATTGCATATGCAGGAAAATTTTCTGTGAAGATTCCTGCACTGACGCCTGTCGGATATAATCCAATGCCCTTCATAGTATTAGCCAGGGTAGTAGTTGTTTTCTGATAGGCGTCAGTCTATTCAACCTACTGTGTAGGTATATCCGAGACGGGCTGGAACATTTGAAGTTCATTTCTTCAGAAATGATAGTGTCAATGAAAACGCACTGTTCGACGTTGATTTGCGAAATTTCGTTCCAGAGATTTGAGCTTCGAAGATGATCCCCGGAATCCCCTGGTGGAGCCCGACCCATCACAAACGGTGCGTGAGATGGTAGAAGAACTGGGCGTCAGTTCCCATGTGGTTTTTGATGGTTTAAAACGTATATCGGAAAGGTTAGAAAGATCGAAATTGTCACGTTTTGAGGTATGTTCTTCTTTGCTTTTGTTCAACCAAAACGATCCTTTTTGGATCGGATCGTTACGTGTGACGAAAACTGGAACCTCTACGACAATAGGAGATGTTCAGGACATCGATGAACCACCCAGGCATCTTCCAAAGACTAAAAAGCCCCAAAAAGACCATGGTTACTGTAGTGTGGGCTTCGGCTGGTGTGATCCACTATAACTTTCTGCAACCGGGCCAAACCATCACAGCAGATTCCTTTTGTGAGGAAATCAACGAAATGTACCGAAAATTCCGTCAGCAGCAGCCGGCACTGGTCAACAGTAGAGATCATCAAATCCCGAGCAGACAATTTTTATGCTGACGGAATTAAATGAATTGTTTTACGTTGGCAAAAGTGCACTGATTCAAATGGCTCTCGTTTCGAATAAATTGTATAAGTATTCACTGATATATTAAAGTTCATAGTAGACTCATAAAAACGGGCACCACTTTTGATACAACCATTTAAACAGGTGATACAGAAGTTTTCTATTTCGTAAAAAAATTCGAAATAGACGAATCAACCTCTGCATCAGCATGCGGATTTTTCAATTTTTCAGAGGTCGTATCTCCGAAAGTAGACAAAACGCCAATTTTTGACTTCAGATTCGTAATAAACGGTTGGAAATACGGAAATATGATGCTTTTTTTTGTAAAACTACCGCGAACCGTTAAAACGAATATATTCCGGTACCCACCTAATCACACTCTGAACGTTTTTTCAAAAATTACTAAACGATCCAACTTAGGGTCCGTGTTTCTTGGACACTTTCACTTCACGCAAACCGCGGCCTGAACTGGCGCTTCATTCACGCTTGAGAAAATCAAGTGCTCGCACTGGATCGTCATTTCAGAACGAGTTGGTAGATAAAACATTCCTCTTCAGAATACCAGGCGAGAATATCTAACTTAGTGGCTTATGGGAGCTATTTTAAAGTTGTATATTATTTGGGCCGCGTCCAAATACACACGGACAAACAGGGAAACCGAACTGATCGATTAATTGTTTTAATTAGGCCGAAGACTGGGAAACGATGCTCTGACGATAAAAATAAAACAGAAACTAGTAAACTGTAACGGATTGTTGATATACAGAGTGTCAGCTGTTCGAACGCGTAGCGACAGCTTATGTACATCTCATCTGAAAACATTGAACAGGTTTTTTGGAAGTTTGTCAAGCACGATTTAAAATAACTGGAGGGTCTGGCAACTACGATATTGACTGTTATGTCAATCTGAAAATTGAAACAGATTAGTCATGGTGGGCTAGCCCCATAGAGTACTCTGACAAATGAATATTTTGATTTTCCGATGGAAAACATACTATAGAGATCTGCCAGGAGAAGAACTCTTCCCAAAAATAAAATACACGTCAAGTTTATTTGTGAGGAGGGCGAGTTGATATATTATTTCTCTCAAAGCACGTAAAATTTTTAGATTATATCCGGAAGTTCTCCAAGGATCTCTTCTCACATTCAAAATGAGAGTATGCATCACTTGTTTGGAACCCAGACTACAAGGTCTATCTATACTTACATGATCGAAACAATTTAACGTAAGTTTTTGCCTAGCTCTGCCTACAAAATTAACGCACATGATGAAAACTATAATATTGACTACAGAAATCTATACTCCAAATTGAAATTGATACAAGAACACAACTTGACTCTTCAGTCAACCTCGTATCCCGTTCAATCAATTTGCCAGACCTCTTTTCCGAAATTGGGTTGAAGATTAAAGGGACCAGATTGAGAGATTATTTTTATATAAGTCGTTAACAGGCGACCTTTTATCGTATCTGTTTAAAATCTGTTTTTTCGTTAATCAGCTGCCGTCCCCAAACGAACGACAACTCTCAGAAGTTGAGAAACTTGTGCGAGCTAAGGACTAACGAGGTCTTACCTTTTAAAGTGTGATTCCTAACACGGTTGCAGAATCATTTCAGTTTCAACCAGATAAATTCTCCCGAGAAAAATATCTGGTCGAGGCGGGAATTGAACACCGGTCTTCCGATCGGGAGTCGGGCGCACTACCACCGCGGTCAATTCCACCCATATTTGGAATAACTCAATCGAAAAACATGGAGAATCAAAAGCTGTTGCGCTTGATATTTCTAAGGCCTTTGACCGTGTGTGGTATGAGGGTTCGCTGGGCAAACTTCGATGATATGGCTTGTCGAATCATTTCTGTGTATGGCTCTTCAGCTTCCTGAATAAACATTTCCTGCAAGTGGCCGTCGATGGATATCTCTCAAATACTTTCACCATCAAGGTTGGTATTCCCCAGGGATCCATATTGTCTCTAACCCTCTTTTTATTGTATACCAACGACTTATTGGGAATAACCAAGAATCCAATCTATTGCTTTGCTGACGACAGCACACTTGTCTCGTGATTCCATTTGGATTCCAGGACATCGGCTACGGAGACACATCTTCACCGGCAGCAGGACGTTGGATATCTTAATGGGGATCTAGATCTGATTTCGAATTGGGGGTGAAAGTAATCAGGGTTAATTCAATGCCACAAAAACCCAGGCATCGCTTTTCTCCAAGAAGATAAATATCTCCGAACCGGATATAATGATGTTAAGTCAGACAATTCCCCTTTCTGCGTCGATAAGTTCGTTGTCGGTTAAAATGGACAACAATATGTCTTGGGATATACGTTTCTCTTCTATAGACACTTTCACGGGAAGTGTTCAAGTGACTTAACACATTTGATCCCACCAAGAGCAGTACATATCAGAAATACGCGACGGACTGTGGCTGCTCATCGTTTTGAGGTTCAACTCAGTAAACCTCGAACTTCACTGTTCAAGAACTCTTTCATCTGGAGAACTGCGTTTATGTTGAATAAACTTCCAGAGATCATTTTTCCAAATGGATTTAATCTCCAGTGATTCAAATCCAATGTGAATCGCTACTTTCGCACAAGCACCGCTCTGAGAGGCCTTAAAGATTTTCCTGTAGTGCTTGTGTTTTGTTCTTGAAAAAAATCGTAATTACAGTCTCCAAAGACCTCTGACTAGAATGGTGCGTAGTGAAAATAACCTTCATTTCAATCAGTTTAACATTGATTATCCTTTCTTTGATAGACACATGATAAGGTTCTGTTACGTTGCACAATTGAACTCATCCTCATTTCACCACTACACTGACAATACAACACGAAAACTCCAATTGAACTTCAGACTAACACTAACACTCAAATGTATATCGCTCTGTTAGCTCAACTCGCACTACACTTTCCGAACTAGACTGACTCTCTTTCGTCGCGGTACATAACCCGGTACATAACTTACATAACCCAATGAAACTTCTTCGGAAGCTGGTGGAACTACGATCCAATATCAATCACTACTTTCGCACAGGCACCGCTCTTAGAGCACATTAAGAATATCCCTGTAAGTGCTTGAGTTTTGTCCTTGAAAAAAGACGGTTTATGGAGGTGAGGTTGAGCGTGACCTTGACTAAATCGGCGTCGATCGGAGAAGACCATCGTCGGCCAGAGTAGTTTTTTCAGGGGATGATTTACAACTGTAGTTTCTTGTGAATTGTACTACCATTAGTTGATAACAGTTCTGTATGTTGTGGAGAAAATCGAAGTTTTTTATCGACCGTTTATCGACCACAATCTGTATTATCTGAATAAAGTTCTCCATTACAATTTTTATATTTTTCAGATTGTGGAAGGTGAAAAAACACAAAAAAGATCTATAGTATTGTATGTTTTAATATAAGCATATTGGTGGTATCGATTGGTGGTGGTATCAATTGTATTGCGTTCGCTTGTAAGATGACATCATAAATGGATAATTTTGAGTTTTGATCCAAAAACTATTGCTAAATCTTCAACTCGTTAAGCGGGAGCGAGAGAGTCATCCTCCAATTTTTTCAATGGGATTGAGGGTCAAGTAATACCTTACTGATGAGGGCTTTCGATTCTCTACACCCAATGCTGCATTGCTTTCAAAAATCATCATGGTTGTTTAGAAGATGTGGAGCTTCGAAATGCAAAGAACATTTTTTTCAAAAAAAAATGCAAATAGTAAAGATGAATTCGTTCGAAATAATTTGCAGTTTTTGTCGTTTGCAAGTTTTGGCTTGCCAAAAGATTCACATAGGTATAGATAGTCATTTTGTTGTAACTGTGTTTTTTAGCCGTGATCTGCAGGTTTGCATGCCTGACATTTCGTCTACTACTGCGGTAAATATTATTGAAGGCGACGAGGTAACGCTGTAGAACAATTTTTGAAAGCACTGTTCTATAACGCTGCGCACGCCTGAGTTCGTTGATTCTGATTCTGTCAAAACATTAGAACAGCAGCGATACAGCAACATAGTACTAATTAGTACTACACCTACCAAATTCTACGCGGGCAAAGCCGCGGACAACAACTAGTATTGTTATAAAACATTAAAGTGTCCACAATAGTCTCAATACCAACTGTTAAATATGAATACTGAAATTTTGAAACTGATTTTCATTTAAATGGCTTCAATAGGAAGCAACTTTCAAACTAGAATAAATATTTACAATTACAAATATTTGCCATAGTTTGATAATTTGATATTAATATATGTTCAGAAAAAGGATTTGAAGCTTTGTCAACTTCTACTTATTACGTGCGAGCGCTTTCGATAGCGGGCTGTGCTATCATCTTGATGACTCTACTCAAAACTCAAACTGAACGTTTTATCTTCTTGTTTGTTCTTTTATACGGTTAGAACGCCTCAGTGCGGGTATTTGTTCTCTCCTGTTTTCCAGATGTCTCTTTAAATTTGCCTGTATTTGGGTTACATCAAGTAATATCCTTTGTGTTGGAGTTTCTGTAGGTTCATTATTTCTAGGAATGTGTATTGTTTTGTGTAGTATATTGAATGCTAGGTCTTGTTGTGTTTTGATTTGTATTTGTTCCTCAATAAGTGAATTATGACTTTTGAATTTATGGATGTTTAGGCTTTCCCAGATGTCCATGCGGTTTTCTTAACTGCCTTGTTTTAGGAGTTTTATGTTTTCTGGTGGGGGAAAGTTATGATTGTTTTATATGGCGTGTGTTGCGAGATTTGATTTATATGTTGTTGGGTTTATGTATGCTTTTTTGTCCTCGTCGTACCTTCGGATCAGTTTTTTCTTGGTTTGGCATACATAAACCCAATAACATAATATAAATCAAACCTCGCAACACACGCCATACAAAACAAACATAACTTTCCCCCACCAAAAAACATCAAACTCATGAAACAAGTCAATAAAGGAAACCGTATAGACATCTGGGAAAACCTAAAAATCCATAAATTCAAAAGTCATAACTCACTTATCGAGGAACAAATACAAATCAAAACACAAGATCTAACATTCAATATACTAGACAATACAATGGGGAATGTTTCTCAATTTGGGTTATTACAGCAAATGTAAGTTTGAACAGAATAAAGTTGAGTTTAATTCATGAGTTTTTTAAATTCACTTCGAAAAGTATTCAAATTGATGTTTCAAATATTGGGTTTTGATTTTTAAAGGGATTTGTTTCTAATTCACATATTGGCAACAGCGCATATATCAAGTTGAAATGATTTATACGTACCTAGATATTTTACTTTGAAAAAGGAAAATTATCTTTATAAATCAACAATTAAGGCAAAATATAAATGATAGTTATACCACCTCCACCTCCACAAGCCACATAAACAACAGTTATTTATTTATATAGAGGAAGATCGGTTAGGTGCACAAAATGTCATATGTCACAGAATGTCTCCGAACTCGGAACATAAGTAAACAGAACAACACGCCTCTGAAATATGTCATCTTTGTTTGTCTCATACA